TAGTAATACCGCTGCAGTTGCTGCCGCGTTTTTTCTGCCCCGAAATGTCCCGAGGTAATCCCGTCGTGTGCCTTCTGCAGTAACAGTTCCCTCAGTAGTGAGTACGCGGGTACCCAGATGCGGTTGGTGCCTGTTTTTACGTAATAGACTCCTTTGGCCTCTGCCAGTTGCTGTGAATTTCCGGTCGTGAAAAATGGGTCGGTACTGTATCCGTGGGTGAATAGGCATGTTAACAGTGGGTTGGTTTGGGCGAGTAGGATGGCGTGGAGTTGGGCGGTTGGGTGTGTGAGTGCGTCGGTGATGTTGGATGCGCCCTTTTTGTACGTGACCGTGTAGTGGAAGTTGGACTCCAGATTGTCCAACCGGCGGATCTGTCGTGGGTTGACATTCGGTTGGGCGCGAAGGTACTGTAGGGATCGGTGGTCTGTCCGTACTGTCACGTCTGCTCCCGTGAGGTAACATCGCCACACTTTGAACGCGTGCACGATCGCCAACATCTCGTGGTCGTGTATCGGGTAGTTGCGTTCGGGCGGGTGAAGTTTGCGGGACTCGTACGCGATTGGCAGGAGGCCGTTCCCGAAGTCCTGTAACAGTACTGCTCCCACAGCAATGTCGCTAGCGTCGGTGACGAGCTCGAACGGACGGTGCGGATCGGCGATGTGAAGTACGGGCGGCGAGCACAAAATATTTTTGAGGGCCGAGAAGGCAGCTTGCTCTTTCTCCCCCCACGTGTACTCAACCCCCTTCCTCAGCAGGTCGGTCAACGGGGCAGTCAGCTTCGCCATGTCGGGGACGAACCGGCGCACGTAGTTGACGAACCCCAGAAAACTCTGCAACTCAGTCAAGTTGGTCGGCGCGTGCCATGCTTGAATCGTCGCAATCTTTTTCGGGTCTATTTCCACTCCTGCAGCTGAAATAATGTGTCCCAAAAACTCCAGTCGGTCCTGTAAAAACTCACACTTAGACGCTTTTGTCAGTAGGCGGTTCTCACTCAGTATCTTAAAAATTGCTTCGATGTCCTGTAAGTGCTGTGCTCTGTCGGGGCTGTAAATCAGGATGTCGTCCAGGTACACGATGACGCACTTATCTAAAAGTGGGCGGAAGGCTTCGTTCATGGTCATTTGAAACGTGGCGGGGGCGTTGGTCAGTCCGAAGGGCATGACGGTGTATTCGAAGGATCCGTAGCGTGTTCGAAATGTTATCTTGGGGCAGTCGGGTGGGTTGACGCGAATCTGGTGGTAACCTCCCCGAAGGTCGATTTTCGAGAAAACCCGGGCTGTGCGCAATTGGTCGATCAGTTCGTCCGCCCGCGGGATGGGGTAACGGGACTTTATGGTAACCCTGTTCAGTGCCCTGTAGTCTATGCACATGCGAAAACCCCCGTCCTTCTTCGGCGGGAACAATATCGGTGTTGCGAAGGGCGACGAACTAGGGCGAATGAACTCCTTCTCGAGCAAGTAATCCAGCTGCTTCCTCAGTTCGTCCAGTTCGGGTTGTGTCAGTGGGAACTGTCGCTGCACTGTTGGCTGTGCCCCCGGTTCTAGTTCTATCCTGTGGTCGTGCGGTCGCTGAGGTGGCAGTCCCGTCGGTAGGTCGTCTGGGAAAATATCACTGTACTGCTTCAGTATTGCTGCCAGATCATCCGGTACATCGGCTAGCAGTTTCTGTAAATCCCCTCCTTTGTCTGCTGCCTCGGCTTCTCGAATGTCAACCGCGTACACGTCAGCTCCTGCCGCTACGGCGCGTTTCATCGTGATCGCGTTGACACGCACCGACGAAGTCTCAGGCGAGCCCCAGCGAGGTAAGGCGATGTTGTTACCGTTCACTCGCACGGTGCAGTCACCCGTCGTCCTGTCGATTCGCGGATTGTGTCGTCGCAGCCAATCACGACCGAGTAAAATGTCGGTTCCGTTGAGGGTCGTTGCGAGCATTTCCTGGCTAAACGTGAAGTTACCCCCGCATCGAATCCGAACTCGGTCCACACGTTCCCGTATCGCCAGTGGCGTGCCGTCGACCAGTCTTGCGTCGATCTCAGGTAAACATCTGTCAAATGGCAGTCGCAGTTTTCGTGCAGTGGCGGTGTTGATAAGGATGTGGCTGGCCCCTCCGTCTACAAAGATTTTAACTAAGCAGTATGGGGCTGTCTACCGTAGTACCCTCCTTATTCGGCCGGGTGTGGTCGATTGCGTGAACCGGCACAATCACTCGGTGAGGGTCGGTTGGGTCGGGCGAGCGGCGTGACCTGTCAGTAGAGGGCCCGCTTGCTACTGACTCCCAGCGATTCCCTGCTGCTTGGTCTGTTTCTGCTGCTCAGCTTCCCCCTTTCCCTTAGCGTTTTCCGGGCATTCTCTCTTACGGTGTCCCGGCCGATTGCATGCAAATAGCGCCCTTTGAATGGCGCGGAAGCGGCATTTGCGGCGACGGCATGTATCGTAGCGCCCTCGTTCGTCCCACGAGGCCGATGTCCCCAATTGCTGCTTCCGTAGGACCCCGGTCTCGGTCGGCGGAAGAAGTCGAGTTTCTCCGCCATAGCGAGAATCTCCTGAAAATCGGTGACGCCGCGAAGTTGGGTTTCCTGAGCGATGTCCTGCTTCAGGCCGCCGATGTAGCGGTCGATGCGCTCGCTCTCGTGCATATAACTCACTTGCTCGCATAGCGCCATAAACCCGCTCGTGTAGTCTTGGACGGAACCGAGTTGGCGCCAAGTGCGGAGCTTCTGTCGCGCTGCGATCGAAGCCGCAATTGGCTCGAAACGAGCGTGCAGACCTGCGCACCACACGTCCCACGTGCGATACTGGGGCACCTCCACGAAATACGGCGGCGCCCAGGGTCCGGTTTGTCCTTCCCGTGTCGGTAGAGTCGCGTAGTCTACCAGCTTCGTGACGATGACACGCCACCAGTCCATGGCGTGTCCTCGCAGCAACGACACGGCGTAACGAATCTTCGCCGTATCCTCCGAGACGTAGTTAGCGTCGAAAAAGACATTCAACGTGAAGAGCCACGCCTGAACTGTAGGACCACCCCCTTGACTCGGGTCAATACACGGCGGACGCTGGGCTTCAGCGGCATCGGCGACGGTAGGGTCCATTCGCCGGCCGGCACGGAAATCGTGACTCGACGCTGATTCCTGGCCGCATTCGTCGCGTCGGGGTGTGTCGTGCCGTGGTCGTCGTCTCCATCGTGGCGGGCGACGTCATCACTGGCCGCGCTCGCGGGTTGCCCCACACTTCCGTGTTGCAATGTCTGTGGTGAGGGCTGCATCGGAGTGCCATGTGCTTGGGATTATGCTCGTGCGATGTCATTTTGCAGGGATGTGCGTTCCGCCGTTAATGCCGCGATTTCTTCGGAGCTTTCGTGCAGTTGTCGCAGCAGCTCGTCCAGGCGGTCCTTCGTGAGTGTGGTGACATCGATGCGTTCGGCCATTCCGAAGGGCGTCGGCTCGTCTTAGTCTAGGCGCAGTCGTGGCTGCACGCGTTTACGAGAGAACGCGAGGACAGCGGCTCCTAGGGGCTAAGGTGCGTAAGTCCCTTCGAGTGAAAAATCAAAAGTTGATTTCCTGGGGTGCGGAGGTGCGCGGTCCGAAAAGAAAGAGGCTCTGAATACCACGTGTTACGGGTGCAATGAATCGAAGTAGCGAGAATTGCACTAAGGTGTCAAACGAGTACAAAGTGTGAGCGAAGGCATGAGGGAACATTTATACGCGAAACATGCAAACGGTAACGCGGTGCGTGCGAGCTAGCTAGTGATACGCTGGCAGCGAGGCTCGGGCTAGTCCCGAAGCGTAGGCCGACACGGCCGGTCCAGCAGTGCGAGGTTTGGTAAAACAGTGCGCGCGAAGTCGGCGAAGCCCCGTTAGCAGTAACGGGCGAACAACGGCTGCTGCTGTACACGGTGTTGCAGGGTGCGCTAAGGAATATCGAGAAAATTCCATACAAACAGTCATATCAGTGGGTGGAAAGTGTACTTATACGTACCTCCTCTTTGTATGAAGCTACATATGCGTTTTTTCATTTACGAGCAAGGAGTAACAGTTTATGATTAGGTAAATTTGATTGTTTTATCTTAAGGCAGTCTGAGAGATATATAATCTATGCCGAGTTATAACATAATAATATTTATATCATTCCAGTCGTAACTGGACGACACTGTGCTGTGAACCGAAGCATACTACACACACACACCCCGCTGTGCAAATTCTCGAGGAACGACACAGCGACAAAGGCGCTTCTTGGGCCCTGCTGTGTGGCTTCGTTCGTGGAATTTGCCCTCACGTTTGCTCCATTCCCTTCCAGCGTGTCACGCGGGTCTCCAGCGCTAAACCCCAGGAACCTGACGTGAGCGATCCACCTACCGCGGTGCGAAGCAAATTTGCGACCCGGGCCCGCAATGTGTTCCAAGTTATTGTCGCAAGTGCACGTCCTCCACGTGCGCCTCGTGATTAGCGCCCCTCCTGGAATTCCTTCCAATAAAAACCTCTTCCCTTCCTATGATCCCATCCCATCCTATCCATCCCAACCCATCCCAAACCAACTTCGTCTGTTTCACAGCCCCCCTTCCACTTGCAAACAATCACTATCACCTCCCTCCCACCCACAACACCCAATCTTCAACCTGGTAATGCGTCAACATGGAAGGGCTGGCTGGCGACGTGTGTTGTCGCAATCTCTGAGACTTAGAGACTCAGACTAAGTAGGGGGAGCTCCGTCTTGGTCGCCTTTTCATGACTAAGGAATAACTGAATCGAGTCCTGGAGTCGAGTTACGTATCAGTCAGCAAATATCAAGCCCGAAAAGGGGTCCTCCTGAGACTCTGCCTGTAATTCTGCTGGTGGTCAACATATTGTCATCCCAATTGGCTTCTGGAACCATAAAAAGCATATATTAACACTCTGCGTCCCCGCCGTCCGCACGCCGCGCTAGTCGGCAACCCAACGCACTCCACCGTCTCCCCCCGAAGCGAAACAGAGGGGTATGAGAGAGCTTGGTTCAAGAATACCTAACATGGCGCGAAAAAAGTCCCGCTACGCCGTCTCGCCGGCTCTCATAACCCTGTTACTGCAAGCGCTTGCAATAACCCCCACGCTCGCTGGCCCCAATACGCCAGCGGGAGCCGCGGCGCCGATCGATCTCGCATTCCCTTTCAAACCCTCCTCCTCCGCCCCGCAGTTCAGCCCAGACACCCTCCCCGACCTTCCCGCCTCCCCGCAACCCACCATTCCGCCGGTGGTAGCTCCCAAGCCCGTCACCGTTCCGCCGGTTCCCAAGCCCGCGACCGTTCCTTCCGCTCCAAGCGGAAGCCCCTCTGCGCCGACCGCCTCCCCCGGCTCTCCTGATCCTTCCGCTTCCCGTACACCGATAGAAGCTGGCATTCCGGATCCGAATACTTTCGCCCGTCCTTTGCCCAAGGGTGCCGCGCCTGCTGTAGTGACGCCGGGTAATGCATGTCCCGCTTCCGACCTTGACGGTTACACCTTCTCGGCTCCCCTCATTCCGGACCAGTAAGTCCCCCTTTCCATACAGCAGGGGATTGACCTCTTTTATTGACCTCATGGCGAGAATTGTCAAATGTGATTCCTGTAAGAGAATGTTTAAAGCTGACTCGATCGTGTATTACCTCTTATCGCTTTACTGGTTTGTCCCTCACCCTCCCGCTTCCCCTGCTTCCCCCTCGCCAGCCTCCTCCCCCACTGGTGCCTGCGCGCGTCTGCGCTGGACATCGCGGCGGAGGCGCGGCTTTGTAGCCAAATTGACAAGTGTCTCACCATTACATGCTATCGCTTTCCCGTTCCCATCTGCCGATTCCCCTTTGCCAGGTTTGTCCTCCACTGGCGGTTGCGCGTGTCGGCGCTGGACATAGCGGTGGAGGCGCGCCTGAGCAGCCAAATCGACAACGGTTGGATGGGCGTCGGCTGGTCGCTCAACGGCGCGATGTCGCCTTCCGATGCCGTCATCGGCAATCTCGAGGGTGGTGCGATCCGCGCGTTCTCGCTGGGCGGGTACACTGCGGATTCGGTAAACGCGACGAATCATATTAGCCTCGGGGATAAAGGATCGACTTCGACGGCGTCGGGGTCTACAGTGTTCTGGTGTGTTACTTTTACTTAGTTACTATTGATGTAACATCGTTAACATTCACAACTTGGCGTGCATTTGTTCTAGAACTGCACCCCTGAACAAACAAGCTGCATTTTACCTTCTGTGCGTCACCTTCACTTAACCGCGGCTTGTGGGATTAACGAGTCTCGATACTAACCCCGTTATAAGGAGCCCCTCTGACTTCATGAGGGTGTTGGTGACTGTTGGTGAACAGAAGAAGACACGTTGGTACAGACAAGACAGCCCGGCCAGGCGTTTGCCCTCGAGCGAATCTACTAAGCTACCAACCTGCATCCGACTAACCTCCTGTGCTATTTGTGACTGCGGGGAAAGGAGGGGGGAAGGGGTGGGAGAAACGGGTAAACGGAAAGAGAGGGTCAAACTGTGGGACTTGGGTGCAGGGGAATGGCTTGCCGCGCTTGGTATGCTGGCTGCGGTGCATGCATATAATGCTTGTGAAGTCTCATGTGCTGTGTATATCATGCATTTCTGTGCAGGCACACATACAAACTTCTGTATACACGTGCACACCCGCATGCATCCCCCCTTATTCCAGGTTCTCCCGGTCGCCAGGGGATGGAGGCTCGGTGCCGATCCAGTTGTCCGGCCCTAACTTCCTCATCTGGGCCTATTCTCGGGACATGTTCCAGACCCTTGGTTACCACAGCACCCATAGGTAAACCTATGACTACCACAACACCCATATGTATACTTCTGGTTGCCACAGCACCATTGTTGATGAGTCTTGACTACCAGAACTTCGGTTCTGCCACACTTGGCAGCGTAATGTGTCCCTACCGGTACCCATTCCTTGTCCCTGTTCTTGACCCTATTCTTGGTCTCCAGTCTCTTCATTTGAACGTCCTCTCCTTTCGCCCTCCCACAACCCATACTTTTCTACTCACTCTCCGACAACAAACCTGTCCAAAGTCTCTCCAGCACTCCACTTTTTCGCCCACCTCATTTCCCCAACCTCGTGCTCCCCACCTCGTGCTCCCCACCTCATATTCCCCCCACCTCATATTCCCCCCACCTCATATTCCCCCCACCTCATCCCTACTCCTCAAACTTACCCTCTGGTAACGCAGAGGAGTTTCTCAGGTGGACTTCTCGTGCAACACTGCACCCCAAGTGCTGCTGGGGGAGGGTAGCCCTGAGGACGACGACCAAGGGGAATTTACCCCGGATAATCCTATTGATGTAACCCCTTCGGATCCTCTGGGGGACGATGGCAACGATGAGAGCACGGGAAGCAGCGGTTCTGAAAGTGGTGACAGCAGTACAGGAGTCGTGCCTCGTGGTAACCAACCTGGCGGGGTGTTACGGAAAGTGTGGAATGTGTTGTTCCCATCATTTGGCTAAGCTAGTTGGCAGAGCTGATGCGTGCCATACTTAATTCATCGACGAATTTGATTAGAGGGCGCCATGCTTAATTCGTTCGTTTAGGTTCTTATATTGTAATCCCCAATGGTTTTGGTAGTGGCATAGAGGGGCTAACATGTTCAGCGTTTTGTGGAGCTTTGGGAATTACGGTTGTGTTGGAATATAGGGTAATAAAGTTGATAAGAAGTATAGACCAGTGCAATCAAGTGTGGAGAATAACAACAAACGTACGGCTCGTGGCGAGGTTAGTGTAACTTTAGACACCGCTGTCCAGAGACCACCGGACGGGACGGGTGCAAGGCAAGCGCAATGAAGTGGTTGAGTCATATTAATTACGATATTGCATCGCAGATTCTACAATGCAGAGTAACGCACGAGGTGGCGACAATAACGGTCGAGCTCGTGAACTGTGTTTTACGCGGTGAAGAGAGGCTTGCAGTAAGAAACCCGAGAATTTCCTTACACCAATCCTCGTATTCATCAAATGAGGATTCACTAGGAAGCTAAATCTATTGTACATATTTCGTTGTATGTTTTGTGACTCTTTGCATTAGGTGCATGGTACATGGAATGGGAGAGAAACCTTAGTGCTCTGAAACTTTTTTAGCGCATTATTAGTGTAGCGCCCAGTTACCGCAAGATCTGCTGTGTTAGTCGACGTGTGAGTGATGGGTCTTGCGCCTCCTGGCTCGGCCTTAGCGCTGATTGGCCAAGTAGTACGAGCCGCGACAATGAGTTCAGGCTTGGCGAGCTACGTGAGTCTCGAAATGCGATGAAATTACACTGTCGGTGATGCCAAGACCGAGTCGCGATGCCACATTGCCCCCAGCCCCCTCCCCTGGCACGAAAAGCTGTCCGTCCAGAATCTCAAGCTTCTTCAGAATGTTGAATCCCAGGCACGAAACTCGACTGCGCAGTTTTCTGTGCTCGTGTCTCTAGGAACATTGGTTCTATCACGCCGTCAGGGAGTAACGGAGAACATCCATAGTCCAGACAGGCACTTGTGATTGACTGATTACTGTGATGCGTCATGAACTTGGACACGTTTTTTGTCGGTCGCGCGTCGCGAGTTGCATGTGCCTGCCAGACTAGTCTCAGATGGCCCAACAACTTCACGAGACCCAAGTTCAAATACGCCCAGGTTAACTTGTCCAGCACATCTGAAACCAGCAAGACATTCACTAGCAATCGACAGTTGTCATTCGCTTCGTACACCATCGATCGTCTACCCTCTCAGCAAGTTTACGTTTTGCCTCGCTACTGATAGCTCCAAGCCATGGCTCGCCCGTGCCACACAATGGGCGTCGTAACTCTTCTCCTTCTGGCGTCCGCCTTCCTCTCCGCTCACGCCGCGGAGATGAAAACCCGGGACGACCTCACCGGTGCCGAAGGAACCAACAAGCAATTCATCAACAACTACGACACCGTCACTCCCCAGGCTGTCATCACCCCCCGCCCCAGGGACCCCACGCCTGTAGCCGAGCCTGCGCCCGAGCCAGTGACTCCCGAGCCTGCTACTCCCATCAACCCCGTCACGACTCCAAACCCGGTACAGGCCTCTCAGGACGTCTTTACTGAAGATCCTTTCGGCGGCTCGAAACCGTCGCCTGCCGCAAACTCGGGTCCGTCGTTCGATCCCAACGACCCTCTGGGCGGCAGGGACCCTCTGGCGGGCGATGACTCCAAGACCGGTATGCAGCAGACAAGCGCGACCGACTCTAGCGCGTATGACGGCACTGCGCAGCCCAACCAGGTCAATCAGGTGCCCCCAACTTACCCTGATACTCCTGCCAACGACTCTGGCGTCGCGCAACCGGCCACCTGCGACCCGTCCGACTTGGACGGTTACACGTCATCGTATCAAATCACCAAGTACGGCCACGTGCTGCACTGGGCCGTCGTCTCCCCAACGGTCGTCAAAATCGCATTCGAGGCGAAGCGCGGCAGCGGCGCGGCGTTGGGTTGGGTGTCCGTTGGGTTCTCCAAGGACGGGAAGATGTCTCCGGCAGACGCCATCATCGGCAACCAGCCCGACACGCCCATTGCAGCCTACTCAATGACGGGCTACGACGCGGGGTCCATCACGGTCAACAAGAAATTGTGGATTGGCGACGACGCAAGCCTCGTGACCAAGACCAACGGCAGCCTCATCATGAAGTGAGCCCTTTTACACCTCGCCTCCGTTTCACATCTCGCCACCCAGATTAGTGATTGCATCACGGAAACGTTTTTTGTAACTTGAACATTCGCCCATTGACGTTTTTCGGCTGCTTGACGACTTTCAGGTTCCAGAGGTCCATCACAGACGGCGTTGCGCCTATCTCCACGACTGATCCCGTCACCGTCATCTGGGCGTTCTCTGCTGACAACACCAAGCCGCTCGCCTTCCACGGCGAGAAGAGACGGTACGCGCGCGGTCCCTTCAATTCATCCCTTATCCCACTCCTTCCCAGCAGTATTAAATTTGCGCCGCCTAGTTCGCACTTCTTCACCTTTCCGTTGCGGCTTACATCGAGTTTCTGTTTGCGTTTTCCACTACGCAGTGGCTCTTTCCAGGTTGAATTTTCGTGCAACGGCGGCAGTGGCGGCGTAGCGACGCAGCCGACGGCGCCGGTGCCGGTGCCGGTCCAGGGTGTGGCGAATGTGACGGTGGGGTCGGCGTGCCCGGTGTCGACGCTCGGCCAGTACGACCACCAAGCTGTTCTCTACGACGGAAAGTACGCGTTCCTTCCCCTTCCGACCATGACAACTCATGGTCATGGTACTGTCATTCGTGTACCATGTCGTGGTACTGCCATCACGACCATGACAATTCTTGTCTCGTTCCAAGTGCATCTTGATCCTGTCTAATTCGGCTTGCCCGCTTCTCTGTGTTTCACTGCGGCGGCCATCCGCAGGATTCTGCTTCACTGGAAGGTTCTGCCCGGTCCCGTCTTCCAGATGGCTTTGGAGGCGAAGCGCCTCAGCGGCGCGGAGAACAGCTGGATTTCGGTTGGCTGGTCCAACAACGGGGCCATGGCGCCTGCCGACGCCGTTGTTGGTAACACGCCCGGGATCAAGGCGTACCGACTTGATGGTTACAAGATGGCAGAGCTCGTCAACGACACGTTTTCGCTCGGGCCGAACCCGTCGGTTACCACCTCGTCTACTGGATCCACAGTTGTGAAGTGAGTGATTTCACCAAGGTCGTGATGTTATGCGGACTTGCTTGCAGTTCTCACAGGTCTGCGCACATGTGAGCTCATATTTCAATTTACTTCTCGTTTACACAGGTTTTCCCGTACCAACGGGGATGGCGGCACGGTTCCGATCAACCTGAGCGGCGAGACGTACGTCATCTGGGCCTTCTCGCGTGGCATGCTCGATGCGTTCGGCTACCACGACTTCAACAGGTGCGTTACGAACATGGTTGATCGATAATACACTCCAAATTTGCAAGCGAATGTGTCTTTGAGCAATTGTTCTGTCTTTTTTCTCGCAGGGGTCTCGCCACGGTTGATTTCCTCTGCAACAAGGACTCCACCATCCTGATGAATCCTGGCGAAAATGTGGCGACCATCCCGGGTGCTAACGTGGACAAAGATCCTTACGCGGGCCTCACCCCTGCCGAGCGAGAGGCCAAGGAGGCCCGCAGGGAGCGCCGCACAGCGCGCCGAGCTCAGCGCGGAGCGATTTTCCGTTCGTGGGCTAATGCTGCGCTCGGCCTCCCCGAACCTGTGCCATCCTCCACCCCATCGCCCTATCCGTAAACCCGCGTTGGAAGCTACTTGATGGTCACTAGCTTTCTCCACTTTAGGCTTCAGCAAAAATTGGATCCTTGTGAAAATTATGGTTCTTCTGTAGTTGTGCTATGCTAATTAGGATGGATGGATGGCTCTCTGCGTGAAAGATTGTGGCGCCATGTTGCTTCTTTTTGTAATCCAAGCTCCAAAAATGGTTTCCTTCCATATTTCCTCCATGCTGGATTTGTTTCCAGCATATTTCCTTCCATGGTTTCCAAAAAAGAGTTTGAGCATATGTGCACTGTCCAAACTGAAACTAGCGCATGACTCCATGAACCAATGAACAGACCAATCATTTATAATATCTGTAAAAGACTTGAGGGCGGGATGCTGGGAAAATGGTCACAAAGCCAGGGAAACCAGGGATGTGTCTATACCTTTTTCTGCAAGGGCTTCGTTGGGACATTGTTCTGGCCCTTCTAGCAGATGCATCAGTAATCGATGTGTTCGTTCTATGACGTGAAAACGCGGCTCGATACGGGATTGATCCCTGTGGTTCTCCAATGTATCACCCTTTTCCAATTCATGGAGAGAATCGGGGTCATGTTTTATATTGTCACCATGTAAATCCAGCACAGTTTAGTGCAATGGGATAGGGGGATGCTTGTACAGGGGATCCTTCTCAAACTTCCCGCACAAGCTCGTTTGGCATACTTTCCATGAGTTTCGTTGACCCACCTTTGATATTGTATGTACGGACAAACCAGAATGCCAGCGCAGCATTCGCGAGGCGTGAAAATTCCGGTGTCGCACTCACTCGTCGTTCACTTGCTCTTCGCTAGGAACTACACCGACCAGCTCGCTTAGCGGCCTCGATTTGACGACGAAACCACAAGGAGGAGTTACCATTGTCGTAGGCCTTCCTTCACGACAACAACAGCTGTGTAGTGCTGGTCGGTGGTGATCAAGGGCAGAGTGTTGGCCAATAAGAAACTACCGAACCTTTCATACCCCTTCGCTGCACACTAACGATGACCACATGACAGCACACAGTTACGCTGAAGCTCGGCCTTTGAACCCAGCTGCTTTCCACACGAAGGTGCACACACTGGAGCACGAAAAACACGTGTCTCCGCGACGCGCAAGCTAGTTGCGGCGGCAGAGCATCACATGCCTCCAGCCAGTCATCTCGGTGCGCTGTTGCGTTGCGCCACAACGGGGGCACGGATTGGATTCTTGTCGGTATTGCAATTCCGTTATTCCGCTCCGCTTCATCCTACCGAACTCTACTCCAGACCTGTCAACTCCTTTTCACTCCCCTCTTTGTCCCGCAAATCCTTACTGGTCGAGTCCTCTTTTCCCCCCGTATCTAAACCAAGACGCACTCACCTGCTTTCACCCCCCTCCCCTCCCCAGCTACTGCCACTTTCCCCTCGCATATGTATCTCCCTCCTATAAAGTAAACCAGCCTCAAGAATCTCATACTCACAGTAGACTCGCCCTCGCCCACCACCATCCCAGCTCACTCCACCACCGCTCCATCCGTATTTCCACGTGTCGTCCGCTCAGCTTACGCTAATCCAATCCACTTCACCCCAACTCACTCACTCACTTATCTGCGCTAGCTAACTTCCCATCGTTCCGAGCCATGGCTGCCGCCAGAGAACACGAACCGCGAGCCATCCTCATGCGCGTCTGCGTCACGTTCCTCCTCTTCGCCGCGGTACTCGTAGGAAGCGCCACCGCAGCGCCGGGCGCTGCGAGCTCCGCACCGTCGCCGTCCCCCCGAAAATCCCAAGGCCTCCTCAACCGATTCAACCTGTGGCGCAATAAATTTTCGCTCAAGCCCCCGGCACCCACTGGCGCTGCTGCTGCTACAGGCGGAGCCGTCGGCGGGGCAGCTGTAGCGGCGGCGAAGACATTGGTGACGCCGGCTGCCACCGGCACGTGCCAGGCATCGACTCTCGCAGGCTACACGAGCTCCGTGGACCTTTCGGGCAACGGGTGAGTCTTATATCGAGTCATGGGACACAATCCCCGATTTTAGCCGTGCATTGGTGTCTCTGAGTGAGTCCCATGCCCTCAAGTCCTTATCTATTTCCGGGACGCGTTTCCATTTCCCCCCAGGCTCATCCTCCACTGGAAGACGTCAACGGGGTCAACGATCGACCTCGCGCTCGAGGCCAAGTCAACGAGCGGCGCGGCGGGCGGGTGGATTGCGGTGGCGTGGAGCAACGGCGGCATGTTCAACTCCGACGCCGTCATCGGGAACCTCGCGACGGCCAGCGGCGTCGGCACATACGCGATATCCAGCTACTCGAATGTGGTTACCACGACGCGCTTCGCCATTACCGGCACGAGCGTTACCGCGTCGGGCGGGAGCACGATCGCGAAGTTCACACGCGCCACGGGAGACGGGCTCGTGAAGGTGAACGCGGCGGGGAGCAACAACCTCGTGTGGGCTTACTCGTCTGGCGGCTCGAAGACTGTTGCCAACCATGGCGGCTCGCACAGGTGCCGCAGCGCGCGCCCTCTCGCTTCATTCGTTCGCACCGACCTCCCTTTTTTAGTTCATTTCGTTACCAGCTCTTCGTTATCATTATATCCACTCCAGCCCACCCGTTTTCCTCATACTCATTTTTAACTCTCTCCTTTTCATTCCCCTCGCCCCGAACTCTCTCCCAACCTCCAGAGGAGCCAAGTCTGTTGATTTCTCTTGCGACGGCACAGCGACTGCGGGGTCAGGCTCGGGATCAGGCTCGGGATCAGGCTCGGGCACCGGCGCAGGCACGTGCACGGGCAACACGGGCGTGAGCGGAACCGCATGCCCTGCGTCCACCCTCTGTGGTTACTCCTACCAGGCGCAGATTAAATCCGGGTACGCTGAGTCGGGCTTGCGATTAAATTTGGGTACGCAGAGTCGGGCTTGCGATTAAATCCGGCTTGTAACCATTTTTAACCGCCGTTTTTAATTCCTACTACTCCCGCATTCGTCATTTTTTCCCCAGCTTGTTCTCATTCCCCTCCCTCGTTCCTCCCTCCCTCTCCTATGTTTCATTCCCCAGTGTGCTGCTGCACTGGAAGCGCGCGTCCGCCACGCAGCTGGACATGGCCGTGGAGCTCAAGAGCAGCAGCGGCGCCAGCAACGGCTGGTTCGCCCTCGGCTGGGGAGGACGCATGGCTCCTTCTGATGCTGTCATTGGCAACAGGGCCGGGGGAATCACCAGCGCGTACCACATCACTGGCTACAGCATGTCCTCGTTACAAGGCGGCTCGTTTAGCATTGGCAGCGGTGCCGGGACCGTGAAGTCTGCTACGGGCTCCACAGTGATCCAGTGAGTGGGGCGATTGGTTCTCGGTCATGACATCAGCTACTGTGTTTTTTTTCTGCGCAGTCGCCATTCCATTATTCATTCCGTTATTCTGTCGGCTTACACTGACCCCCTACCCCACCTGCTGTTCTCCCATTCTCCCTTCTCTCTTTTCCCCCCTGTGGACCAATCAGGTTCTCGCGCACGGCCAACACCGGTTCTCAGGGCATGAAGATGAGCGGCGTCAGTCGGCTCATCTGGGCGCACTCCAACTCTAACTCCAAGTCCCTTGCCTTCCACGGCGGCGCTGAGTGAGTCTTCCTATCCCTCCTTGAGTACCTTTTGTTCAATATGTTCGCATTTAAGAGGCTCATCTGGGCGCACTCCAACTCCAACTCCAAGTCCCTTGCCTTCCACGGAGGCGCCGAGTGAGTTCCCCTCTGCCTCCCTTTTGTCTCTTTACCTCTACTTTCATCTCTGTTTTCCACTCTATGCTCATCCCTCTTCCGCTCGGCACCTCTCGCGGTGGACTTGGGCCTTCTGCAAAACTCCACTTGTGTGCTCTGCTCTCCTTCATCTCACCACCCTCTCTTTCTCTCCTTCTCCCTATCACTCCCTTTATCGCAGTGGGTACATGTCCGTGGACTTTTCCTGTGCCACTGCCCCATCCTCTGGCGGCGGCGGTGGGGGCGATGGTGATGGTGATGGCGATGGTGACCACGAGGGGGGTGGTGATCATGATGGCGATAGTGATGATGGCTTTGGCGGGGGTGGTTCCGGCGCGGGGAGCGCGTTTCTCTCGCAGCTCATTGCTTGGCTCGGCTCGCTCTTCGGCTTCCGCAAGTAGTTGGTGTACACTGTACATTGTACACTGTACAATGGAGCATGTGAGCTGATCAGTGCACCAAGCTTGCTGCGTGGGAAGAGAATCCGTGATGAGCTGATTAGAGTATAAAATGTGGTGGATATGGATGGGAGAGTGCTCGCCCGCTCGGCCGGACCACAGGCATCTTTTGCAGTTGTGTGCTCGCATAAGGCACAGTCACACAGTGCAAAAGATGGTTGTGATGCCATGCCCTGCTGTTTGTGATGTCTTGCTATGTATGTCCTTGTGTATTAGTCATACCATAATGTCACCATTTCCCTTCCAAGCATGTACACTGGTTAGTACATCAATGTGGTCACTTGATTATCGTAGAGGAGATGGTGGTAGGGAAAAGAGAGGTCACACAGTGCAAAAAATGGTTGTGAGTCCATGCCCTGCTTCTTGCCATGGGTTGTTTTTGGATGTATCCATATCCCTTACCTACTCCTAGAACTAGAGCACATCCAACTTGTGTCGTGGAAGGAAACACCTTCAGCTGACAAAAAGGAGCAACGAGTAGAATGGGAGTAGCTTGCAAAAAATAACGGCTATGTTTGCAGAATGGCTGTGCTAAAGACATCCACAAAAAGATGGGTAAACCCTCATAGCAGATCTAGTTGAGAACACATCATCTTCTAAGCAATATTTCGCTAGAAAAGTAAGCATTCGCTAGAAAACTAAGCTAGAAACTTGGCGTCGGAAGAAATCTGCTAAGGGTATTTAGGGTAACGGCGATGATGGGTTGTACGATGGGACAGGGCTGGGGAGGCCAAACGCAGCATTAGCCCATGAACGGAAAATCGCCCCGCGATTGGCTCGGCGCGCTGTGCGGCGCTCCCTGCGGGCCTCCTTGGCCTCCCGCTCGGCAGGGGTCAGGCCCGCGTAAGGATCTTTGTCCACGTTAGCACCCGGGATGGTCGCCACATTGTCGCCAGGTCCCATCAGGGTCGTAGGGGCTTTGTTGCAGAGGAAATCGACGGTGGCGAGACCCCTGCGAGAAAAAAGACGAGTTACCAGCACAGTCAGTATAGCCACAGAACAGTCGCTCAAAGGCAGAACACGGGTCGGAGACATTCGTGTGCATAGCCAATTTGGAGTGTATTATTGATCAACCATGGGAGCGCACCTGTTGTAATCGTGGTAGCCGAACGCATCGAGCATGCCGCGGGAGAAGGCCCAGATGACGTACGTCTCGCCGCTCAGGTTGATCGGAACCGTGCCGCCATCCCCGTTGCTGCGGGAGAACCTGTGGAAACGAGAAGTATATTGACATATGAGCTCAGATATGCGCAGGTAGGACCTTCACTGCAAGGAAGACTTCGCACAATATCGAGTACAACAGGAATTTTGTGAAAGCACTCACTTCACAACTGTGGATCCAGTAGCCGAGGTGGTGACAGACGGGTTCGGGCCGAGCGAAAACGTGTCGTTGACGAGCTCTGCCATCTTGTAACCATCAAGTCGGAACGCCTTGATCCCGGGCATGTTACCAACAACGGCGTCGGCAGGCGCCATGGCCCCGTTGTTCGACCAGCCAACCGCAATCCAGCTGTTCTCCGCGCCGCTTAGGTGCTTCGCCTCGAAAGCCATCTGGAACACGGGGCCGCTCAGAACCTTCCAGTGCAGCAGAATCCTGTCGGTGGCGAGGGAAATCACAGCAGAAGGGAACACGGACAGAAGTGAGCAAGCAGCATTAGGGAGCACCCAAAACGAGCATCAAAACTACACTACTACGTGTACAAATTCGGGGTATGGTCGCGATGACAGTACTGATAGCCGTGATGGTACGGGATGAATAGCATGGCAGGTTGGGAAACAAATCGCGTACTTTCCGTCGTAGAAATCTGCTTGGTGGTCGAACTCGCTGAGCGTCGACTGGGTGCACGACGACCCCTCCGTAACGTTCACGCCGTCAGCTGGAACCGGCACTGGCGACGGCATCGTCTGTTGCGCCGCCACGTCGCCAGCGCCATTGCACGAGAAGTTCACCTGGAAAGAGCCACTGCGTGAACGAAAACACAAGCAGAAACTCGAGATGAGCGATAGTGAAAAGGGAAGGACTGCGAGTAGGATGGATAAAAGCTGCAGCGGCTGGAAAGAGCGAGATAAAGGGTAAATCTGGAGAAGGGACTCCGCACGTACCATCTCTTGTCTCCGTCGAACGCGAGATGAGCCGGAAGGGAACGGGGAAGGAGTACGATAAATGTATATTTGGAGAAGGGACTGCGCACGTACCGTCTCTTGTCGCCGTGGAAGGCGAGGGGCTGGGTGTTGTCGGCGGAGAAGGCCCAGATGACGGTGACGGGCGCGGTCGTGGAGATGGGCGCAACGCCGTCCCTGGTGTTCCTCTGAAACCTGAAAGCGTCAACCAGACGAAAAAACGTCAATGGACGGGAAGTTAGCCAAAGTGGGTCCGTGCTGCTATCTGATACATTCACGTGTAGACGTTTCTGGCAGCAGCTTGGGAACGAAAATGTAACCGGAGATAGTAGGGAAGGGAAATAGCTCACTTCACAATGAGGCTGCCGTTGGTCTTGATCAGAAGGCTCGCGTCGTCGCCGATCCACAGGTCCTTGTTCACAGTGATGGACCCCGCGTCGTAGCCCGTAACCGAGTAGGCTGCAATGGGCGAGTCCGGCAGGTTACCGATGATGGCGTCAGACGGCGACATCTTTCCGTCCTTGGAGAACCCCACCGAGACCCATCCCCGCGCCGCACCGCTTCTGTGCTTCGCCTCGAACGCAATCTTGACGACCGTTGAAGAGACGACGGCCCAGTGCAGCACGTGGCCGTGCTTGGTGATCTGATACGACGATGTGTAACCATCCAAGTCGGACTTGTCGCAGGTGGAATTTTGCGCGACGAAAGTGTCAGTGACGTTGTCTGGAGTATCGGGAAAATTCGGGGTCGTGTCGTTGTCTGGAGTATTGGGAGTAATCGGGATCCCCTGGTTGACCTGGTTGGGTTGCACAGTGCCAGCATACGCGCTAGAGTCGGTCGCGCTTGTCTGAACACCGGTCTTGGAGTCGTCGCCCGCGAGAGGGTTCCTGCCGCCCAGAGGGTCGTTGGGGTCGAACGACGGGCCCGGGTTTGCGTTCGACGGGCCAGAGGTTCCGAAAGGATCATCAGTGAAGACGTCCTGAGGGGCCGACGCCGGGTTTGGCGTGGTGACGGGGTTGCTCGCCGCTGTAACAGGCTCGGGAGGCTGGGTAGCCGGCGCGGGGTCGTTGGGGCGGGGGGTGATGACAGCGGCGGGAGTGACGGTGTCGTGATTGTAAATGAACTGGTTGTTGGATCCTCCGGAACCGGCGAGGTCGCCGCGAGATTTCATTTCCGCAGCGTGCGCCGCGGAGAGTAGCGTGGAAGCCAATAGAAGAAGAGGTAAGACGCCAATTGCGTGGCGAGCCATGGCTGGGTGCAGGCAGTGAGGATGCAAGCTAACAACGATCGGTGACGGGATCAGTGTTAGATGCTTTAGACAATGTGGGCTGCGCGAATTTATATACAAGGATCGTGAAGGCTGGCCGATCTGAGAGATGTATCAAGAAGCCTGGCACCTGCAAATCGCGACGCGGGGCCGACAAAAACGTCCAAATCCATCACACGCCTCAAATCTCCGACATAATCCCATAGTGGGTGCCCTGCGTGAATAATAGTTGTCCGACATACGCGACAAATTCATGCAACTCAAACCTTCGACAGCCTACTCGAGCCCATGATCCTTGTGATTGCTGCGCTGAAATTCGCACATTCAACCTTCGTGCCTGGTTCTCTAAATTCCTGATAAGGACGCGACTCCGACGGCTTTTCGTGGGAAGGGGATGGCATCGCGGCTCGGGCTTGGCACCTCCTTTTTTTTTGGGTTGCGTAGCAACCCTTTACAATTGGTTGTGAACAGTTCAGGGAACTCAAATGAACAATGCATATTTTGTCCTTTTGTCTGCATTGGAGCACTCAGTATGAATTTATGAGCAACTGAAAAGAGAATCACTATCCACAAGAATGCCCGAATGGCAAACCAATTGTACAGCCCCATCCTTAATCGTCGGTAAATACGGCGAATGGAAGAATGGGACAATCACTTCAGAACTTCCGGTGTAAGATAAACCACAAATGATGACATACAAACTCAAAACAGCAATGCTCAACAAGTATGAATGATCCAAGGTGAATGCTAAAAAGCATCTGTGATGCAACCGAGGTTGGTCTGGCACGCTAAGGCAAGCAATGGCCCCACCTGCGATCACAACCTAAGCTGCATTCAAGAGGCACTTTTGTCAAACTGTGTTTGTATATCTGTAGGCTGTAGTGGGGTAGCCTCTACAGAGTACAACATTCTAGGGTTAGACCTAGTAGTTGTACTCATCTCATGCTTCTAGTCAATCATTCCTACACGTTATTTCTGACATGGTATTCAGAGCAGGTCTATCCGTAGGACCGCTCCGTTAGGGCCCACTGCTAGTTTCGAGCTGCAATTGCCCGAACTGCCCTGCCCGTTCGTTCCTGCCCTGCCCGAACAGCGTCCCTCACGCTGCCCTGCCTGCGCTACCCCACGCGCTCTGCCCTGCCCTACGCGCTGCCCGCTTGCTGCCCAGCGCGCGACCGGCACGCTGCTCTGCTCGCGCCCTGCTCGCGCACAGCCTGAGCTCGCTGCGCGCCCTGCCCGCACGCTGCGCACGGTGCCCGCACGCTGCCTGCGTTGCCCGCGCGCTGCCTGCACCACTCGCGCGCTGCATTTGCTGCCCACGCACTGCTCGCCTCGCCCGCTATCTGCCTGCGCGCTGCCTGCACCGCCGGCGCCCTGCCATCGCACTGCGCGCCCTGCCTGCGCACTGCCCCTATGGCCTATGCCGCCCGTGCTCTTCCCGCACAGCCCGCGCGCTGTCCTGCGCCGCCTGCACGCGCCCTGCACACGCTGCAACTGCTGCAAAACTGCTGCTGCCGCCCGCGCTGCGCCGCCCTGCCCTGCCGAGCCGCGACGCCCTGTCGAACCGCCCAGCTGTGCCGCCGTGCCTAGCTGTCCAGCCGAGCTGCTTTTGGTGTCGTACCTGTTGGCTACTGCTGCTGCTGCTGCTACTGCTGCTGCTGCTGCTGCCAATGCTACTGCCCACTATGGCGACACTTAATGTCCTTACCTTTGACGCGGAGGGTCGCCCGATTATGTTTGACTGTTGGCTCGAGAATCTCCAGCGGTACCTTCAGAGCATGGCTAGGGAGGACGTTTCACTGTTAGAGCACACGTCCGGTTCTTGCCTTGCCCCCGAGGAGTCAGCTGATCGTGTTCGTCGTACACAATGGCTCACGCGCGACGTTGCCGCCCGCCTTTCTGTCAGCAATGCCCTCCCGCTAGACGAACGGGTCCATTTTGGCCAGCTTAAGACGGCGAAGGAACTCTATGACGCCGTAGTTGCTCGTTACTCCCCCCCCCTCTACTGCTGCCCTAGGCCGTATCATGCTGCCGTACCTTTTTCCTGAGCTGTCGGACTTCCACACTGTCGCTGACCTCATGACCCACCTTCACTGTAGTGACGCTCGCTACCGCGCTGCTCTCAAGCCGGCCTTTTTTACTGCGAACCAGCCCCCGATGTACATCACTCTTTACTACCTCGTTACTCGCCTCCCTGACTCCCTCCGCGCCGTTAGGGATCACATCCTCGCTCTTGACCCCACTGAGATCACGCTTGCCTTGCTGGAGAAGCATCTCCTCGAGGCCGAGACCACTACTATCGCTGTAGCTGCCTCTCGTGGCACTCCCAACTCCCCCCTCTTTGAGGGGTGTTCTCCCTCCCTTCTCGCGCCCTCTGTTGCTACTGCTGCTGCTGTTGACTTCCTTCGTACCGAGGAGGTCGGTGCTGCGTCTGCTTCTAGTGGGAGGCGCCGCAACGGCAAGGGCAAGGGGGGTAAGGGTGGTGGGGGTGGCGTTGGCGGGGGTGGTGGCGGGGGTGGTGGCGGTGGTGGTGGCGGGGGCGGAGGCGATGGTGGCGGCAGTGGAGGTGGCGGGGGTGGTGGAGGCGGTGGAGTGGGCGGAGGGGGCTCGGGTGGCGGTCAGGGTGGAGCTGGCAGGGGCGGAGGCTACGGGGCGGCGACTGGGGGTGCAGCTCGTGGCGGCGGAGGCACTCAGGGTGGACAGCAGCAGCAGACACACCAGCAGGAGCCACGTGCCCCTCAGGAGCTCCGTGAGTGGGTTGTCCAGCGTGGCTCCTGTAGGGGTAGTGTTCGTTGCCCGTACATCAGGCTCTCGAGTCCCAGGATTGGCGAGCCCTGCGGGAAGACTGGGCGCATTGGGTACCGTTGCTTTTGCCGTCTCGAGGATCGCCTGGCGCACCGAGTACGGAGATTATCAGGAGATCCCCAACTGGTTAGGATTGCTAGGGAAGGGGGTGGATGTGTTTGATCTTGACTTTGCCAAGATCAATGCTGGACTCTATGCTATGTATGTTGGTTCTGCTAGTGTTGAGGGTGACTGTTACTCGTATGTGTCGCGCGTTGCTGGTGTAGAGGCTATTGCTCTAGGTGCTTGTGAGTCTGCTGCCACAGGTACTGCTTCTGCTGAGGCCTTGCACGCCTTCACACTTGAC